CCGTAGTTTTTGCTTTTGCTTGTGTTTTGAAGACAAATCTGGTTTCCTTTTCTGCGTACTCACGATGAGCAAGTTCAAGATCCACATCTCGTTCTCTATACTAAATGGACAGTATCTGCATCTGAAATAATCTATAACAACCATGAAAGGTGGATGGACTCTCTGCTCTACAACTCAGGTTTTCTTTTCATCTGTCACAAAAATGGCGGTCGAAGAGGCCGGGTGTAGAGCATTCAAACTTGTGAAGAAAGTTCCTTTAGTTCATTATACTGCATGCACAATATTTTTGGTTATGACATCATGGAAAGCAGTTTTATCCTTAGTGCGTCGCGATAGCTATCTAAGGAATGCGCTCAGATGAGGAGTGAGAGGCAAAAAAGCGAGAGGTATCTGAACCACATATTTCTCACAGGGTAGCCGTACTTACGCTTTTGCACACTTATCCATCTGTGAGACATGAAGGAAGACTAAGTATCTAGCGAAAATCGAGTGACAAGTATCAAATTGGGAAAGCGTGATAGCACCCTACTTGAGTCAGAGGTACAGGGCTTTACAACCTGAGTGTCCCACCCGCCCCGCTAGGACGCCACGCTTAGGTCCGCGCAGCGTTCGTGGCGCTGGCTGCGCGTCGACTGAAGCTTGGCGAAATCCGGGCGATACGCAGCAAACGCCGCGCGCGGCCTGAGCGAGGCGGCCGCGTTGGAGGAGCCGCGCAAGCGAAACTTGCGACTCTCAGGTTGAAAAGCCCTGTACCTAAGCCTACCTAAGCTGCCGAAATTGACGTACACAGTAATTTTTACGAACAGTCTAAGCTAATCGAAGTCCATCTGAACTCAAAATGCTCATCCACAAGCTACTACCCATTTTGGGATTAGAAAACGCAAAAACGCTTTGTATTTACAAGTTGTAAACATGCTCGAACTGGTTTCATCCAATTGGTCTATTATCAAAAATGAGATATGTCAAAAATGCTTTTCAAATCGAAGCGTTTCTGAGTCCCCCAGTCTTTTAAATGATACTTACCTCATGCCACTTGCTGCAGCTTTCATCTCCTTACGCTGCCGTATAAGAAACCTGTTCAGTAGAAAACCCCTTCCGTTTAAGCACAAACAAATCATAATTTTCTGATAAGTGCTAAGTTCTTGAGGCACCATATCAATAAGGAATGATCTAGATGGCAAGAGATGAAGGGTAAGATTATCGCACGTCACAATGTACTTGTTTCTGTGATTCTCCTGCAGAAAGGAGTCGTTTTTCCTCTAGTGTCCTTGCCTCGCGCTGAAAGTTATAGGGTGTGCGCGCTTGATGGCCAGGGTTCCAGCGCGGAATACAGATTTGCACTGGGACAAGGGGCGCGCTCTTCGCAGCCATCTGTAACTATAGGTACGAGTCCATACTTAATCCACTTGATCCGCTTGATCCACTTGATCCGCTTCATCATTGGTCAGTTCAGTGAACTGACTAATAGTGGAATGGATGAAGCGGATCAAGTGGATTAAGCGGATCAAGTATGGCGCGTGCCTAAGGACGCGCAACTGCTACGGAAAAGGGAGCACTTGGTTGACACTTGGTCGATTGTAGCTAAGGCAAGCGCCATACTCGATCTTCTTGAACCACCTGATCCGCTTCGTGCAAAACGCGCGCTCGATAGTTTGTCATTTGGCGTCGCGCACAGCGAAGTTGCGCAACATACAAAATCTTTTTTACGTACGCGGCCCCAAATGACAAGCTAGTGAGCGCGTTTTTTACACGAAACGGATCAAGTGGGTCAAGAGGATCAAGTATGGCGCGTCCCAAGTTGGCCACTTGCAACAACGTGTTGGCCTCAAGGCTAACGCGGTCAGCGGTTGCAGAGTGCTGTTGCATGTTGCCGGCTTGCTGACTTACGTACCGCAGATCAGAGACGCATGGGAAGGGTATAGTTGACTGCACGGAATCGCCCGGGTTAGACACCCGCGAGCGTGTCTCTTGCGGGCTAACATTAGCATTCACGCGCATGAGTCATCATAGCGCCCGTACTCGGAAGCCGCGTTGCAGGCATGCTCGCGTGCTTTCAGCCTATAGCAACCCGGGGGATTTCTCGCAGTCGATTTTAGTAGGATTGCTTAGTGGACAATACTCCGCTCGCACTATTACCCTAATCTCACGAGTAAAACGCATCTGTTTTCTTTCTAACCTCGACATGCCTGAACACTACAGACTTTGCAATCAGGAGAGCCTCTACCTTGCTGCTTCGTGCCTAAGAGAATTGTATGGGAGAGCAACATTCGAAGCACAGTGGTGCAGCCGAAATGCTTGCCTGGAATAATGAAAAAGTCTTGTACTCGTTAATTACATTAGCTTGCTGCTGTCGTTTTGAACACGTTTAACTCAAGACCAAAGGGACTGATAAACGTGTCAGAAGAAGCGAAAAGTGGCTAGCCGAGGTGTGAGGTGGTAGCTATGCCCTTTGTCTCAATAGCAATGTCGTTGGCTCTGCAGCCGGTCCTGCACGGCTCCTTGCTTCGACTCTGCATCGCATCTGCAGACATACCCGGCCATTTCCCAAGCTTGAGCGGGGGTGATTGCTCAGGCGTGGAAATGTCAAAGTATACATTCGCAGTTGCTGCGCAAGCTTCAAACGAAGCGGTCGCACAACTCGATTTGCAGCCGGAAACACTGCCATTGAGACAGAGTTGGACCAGACGAATCTTCCACAGACTTATACCACAGGTGCAGCACCTGTTTACAATGTGCAACAACATGTTGGCGAAACGTTTTGGCTGGCTTTAGCGGCAACACGTTGTTGCACGTTGCGACATGTTAGCCGCCATGCATACCATACTCAGACAGTCGAAGGGATACCTCCGGCGGGCAAATGGCGCGAGTCTGCCACTTCGCGCTCTGGAGCGCTCTGGAGCCCTTCCATTTCACCCATTTTGGGGCTCCGGGGCTCTACCAAATTTGGCGCACCTCCGGAGCAGAGATTTACGCGTCCCGGAGAGGGGCCCCATTCGCAAGCAATCTCTGCTCCGGAGGTGCGCCAGATTTGGGAGAGCCCCGGAGCACCAAAATGGGTGAAATGGCAGGGCTCCGGAGCGCTCCAGAGCGCGAAGTGGCAGACTCGCGCCATTTGCCCGCCGGAGGTATCCCTTCGACTGTCTGAGATAGGTCAGGGATTCAGAGTTGGGGTAGCAACAGTTGTGGAGTGGACGTACCCTCGATATCAACCATTGTCTTCCTTCAACATGGTGTAGATTACATGGAGTTGTGGGGCGCCACCTCGCTTCAGTTTGCACCACGTTGCGTGCGCAGCTTTGAGGTGTGGCAACAAGAACAGCGGGGAAGCCTGCGCCCGTCACGCCAAGCAATACGTCCGCAACGCGGCGCAGGCCCGAAGCAAGCCTCACCAATACACGTAATCCACGTCATGTTAAGGGAAGACATGTGGGTTAAAGGGCACCTATACAGTGGTGGCGATAATTTGAAGCTCTTGCGTGCTGGCGTACCGACACTATAATTATCACATCAATCAGTGGCTTTGCAGATTTTCAGTATGAGTGTTACATCATTCTTGGATCTTTTAGATGTGGCAATCTATGGTAGGTGCCAGAGTAAGCGAATATTTCGTTCAGCTTCGTTCAGCTGCAAAAGGCGCGCAGAATTAATGTCTGCTGCATAATCTCTACTGCTGCCAAGGCCTGCTTCAGCTGCGGGTCCCGCGCAGAATCAACGTTAATTCTGTGCGCCTTTTGCAGCTAAACGAAGCTGAACAAAATATTCGCTTACTCTGGCACCTATCTATCCTCGCGATCTGTAACTTCATATGTGAGCCTACACCCTGCGCGTCGCAATCGACGGCAACACTAGTAACTTTTCAGTAAAACCTTTTCTAGCGTACCAAATTTTGGAAATGTGTGCTACACACTGATATTTGATTAAAAGAGAAAAGGAATCAAGGAGAAATCGATAGTGAACAAGTTCTAATCTTACAAGTCGGCAAGTTGCGCGCATGGTGTGCAAAATGCACGTTGAATTACAAAGTCACTATTGACTCGACGATAGAACTGTGCTTCACAAGTTCATCAAAGCTCCCCTGTAAATGAGGAATGCTAAATGGATGGGGCGCGAGCGGCCAACGCTTTGAGAAGCAATTGACTAGTGGAGTCAGATTGGTGGACTGTTGGCCGAGTATTGTCAACACTCATCCGTCCGTAACTAGCTAAGGCGCTAGCTATTACTTGTCGTGGATTGATGCGCGCTGCATCTGTGGCCTTTATTTAAAGGCAGTGGACAGGCAAAATGTCAGATTGTGGTAGTTTTGGGTAGTAGACCCCCCCCCCCCAAGTACACTGTAGCCCCAACCCCATCTTGCATTTCATGCGCCAAGTCTTGAAAAAAGCGATTAACTCCACCAGCCGCGCCCACTTCCATTGAGGAGGCGTTATTGGTAAAATTTTGAAGCGCTTTTTTCAAGACTTGGCGCATGAATTGGGAGATGGGGTTTGGGCTACGGTTTACTTGGTGGTCGACTACCCGAAACTACTAAAAATACTAAAATCTGACAGGGCATTTTGTCTTCCACTGCCTTTAAAGACGATAAGAACAACTTCCTGATCACCTCCGAGACTGTGAAGCATAGTTCCGAGTACAGATCTAATTAGTCCAAGAATGGTGAAACCTCATAATCGGAAATCCCGAGCCGTTTTTGTACCAGCGCCTAATTGTGTTCTAAAGGTAAAATTGTTCCAAATTTATACACTCAGTTGCAGCACAAAGTCGTAACTGTAATTGTAGGTGGCACGCTCTCGAACTTTCCAGATCTTTGGATCAGGTAAACGACGAGTTGTGTGCGGCAAGACGACTTTTAGATGCAAACAGGCATAGAGTATTTTTGTACTTCTTAAGTGCTTTGTGGTTTTTCGGAAAAGCTGCTATCTTATCTCTAGTTTAGAATAGAAAACACGTCTAATCTTCAAAAGCCACCGATTTTTTATCACACTGCAACAGTATTTTTTCAGGTTAATGTACAAATCAGCACATGTAAATCGAACACTCTGCGAAAATAGCACTATGACGCTAGTATCGACTATCCTTTCTCCTGCGATCAGTATCTTTTTGATAATCTGGTCGAATGTGAGTCATGGAAGGATTTTTCTTGCCATCTTGAACATATTCAGAATTCGATATTCAGATTCTTTTGATACTTTGTACACTGTTGACGTCAGCTGTGCTGGCGTTTCTTATCTCCTACTATTTCTATGGATTTGCACCACCATCCAAAACGCCGAGTCGAGCCAACTCTTCTGATGGTTCGAGCTCAAGTTTGTTTCTGTAATGTCTACAAGAAAATGATTTCATGCTATGTTTATTCAGGAAGTAGCAAAGGAGTTCGATCTCGTACAATTCATGAGAGCGATGAAGATGCTCCTAGTGAAGCAAAAGCAAAACCAGATGTCATAGAGCTGCGAAGAATGCGTAAGAGAGATTGGGCAAGAAAGATCTACAAAAGTTTGATGGTGAGGATTGGCTGCTAAGTGCATCTGTTCGTAAATGCATTGTATCTGTTCACTAACTGGATTGTGAAATTTCATTTAACTCTCATTCATCGCCATGTTACATATTAGGATTCTTGAATTTTTGAAAATTTGAGCTGTTATGCTAATTTAATGTACAGCATTTGAAAGTAATCTTTCGCATGTTGCGAGATTATGGCCTCCTACAGAGCCTTCCCATCTTTACGTACATACCACATCTTGCCTTTCCAGAAGAATGATTCTCCTCCGATGCATTCCTCTGAAGACTCGGATTCGAGCGGCAACAAGAACTTCCGGCCCCGTCATCTCAAACGTCGTCATTCGACAGCTGGCCCGCTGCAGCTGGCAAAAGAGTAAGTTTGTGATAACGAGGACGAGAACCAGCTTGCGGTAACCCAGGCTGCACTTTTCGAGAGAGAGAGAGAGAGAGAGAGAGAGAGAGAGAGAGAGAGAGAGAGATGAGAGTAGTAATTCCGATAAAATTTTCGTTCTTCGTTAGGTGTAGCATTACTCACCTCTTTCGAAAATATTCTCGACGCTCGACAGCTTTAAAATGTTGGGAAGGGGGCGTACCAAAGGTTGTCCTGAAATTTATTATTTCCATAATGTTTTGATTACAAGCAAAGAGTCACAAATACAGGGTATCCCAAAAAGATGTGCACACTGTTTGATGGTTAATAACTTTCTTGCTTTCATATCTTATGCGGAGCTTGGGGTACCATTCTGGAGAGCGAGGTTCAACTTAGATCTAGGGCATGAAGCGAACTACCAATTGTTTTTCATTACTGTGGAATTACGGTAGGAATTCCGAGGAGGATTTTGAGCCATTGAAAGCGATATTTTGCCTCAGGAAGAAAGCCAAACAAGCCAGAAACTCTTGAACTGAGCCCATCGAAGTCGCTGATTCTAATTATGAAGTTTGCACTCCAATATAATGCTTCGTTCATAAGTTATTTCAGATTTAGGGTAACTACTGTTTTTCCAGTCTTCGTCAGATATGTGATTACGCCATCGAGAAAGCTCGAAAAAGTGGTGAAAAGTTGTGTAGTGAAAGCAGCACGCCTGAAACCTTGCTACACAGATCTTCAGATTTTTGGAACTCATTTTATCAAATGCCTATTCCACACTGATGCAGTATGCTGAAAGTTCATACCGTAAATCTACGTTAATGAAGAGCGATTGGTGATTCGAACCATAGTGTAGATCTAAGTTGAACCTCGCTCTACGGAACGGTACTTCAAGCTAGGCAAAAGACTTGAAAGAAAGAAAGTTATCAGCAATCAAACAGTGTGCATATCTTTTTGGGACATTTTGTATAATACGTGTAAACCACTTTGAAAAATTCCGCGACCTATTCTGAACAAGTATTCGAGGTGAAGACTGCTGAATTTTCCATTTACTGAACAATTCGCTTTCTAAGACACTTTGTATTTGCAACAGATTCATCTCCAAATATAGTTGCTTGTCGTAAGCCGGTGATAAGAGAGCCATAAAAAATATAATTGTGACGGAAAAAAGTGCAGTTGGGAAACATGAAATCAAAAATGTGTTATTTTTCAATTTATATTACACTAGTGTTATAATCCCGTATTCCTTCAGCTTACTACGCCGCAGTAGCCGTAATTACTTCCGCCAGACGTCTGAGATACGTGATAAATTGGCACGACCTCCTCAGGAATTTTATGAACCGAGTGATCTGCCAGAAATACCTCAGAATCTCCAACCGGAGCTCTTCTATATTCTTCATAACTTGAAGTATGTTCGTGAGACTGCCTTTTGCTTGTCATTGTCGCATCAAAATCAAGTCTTTAGGATGTTGGAATTGCCAGCTGAGTGGAAATTAGATCCAAGGGACATAGATGTACGTACTTTCGCTAAGGGAGAACTAGTTGTACGACCGGGAGAACCGGATGACAGCATTTATGTAGCAATAGATGGAACATTGGCAGTCTATATTGCAGTAAGTACATTCTTCAAAGAAATTGATAAGATCATGAAGCAACATAACCTCTTTCTTGTAGCACAAAGAGGGCAAAGATTACATGGTGAAGAAGATACCGCCAGGAAATAGTTTCTTTTCTATGCTATCCATGTTGGATGTGCTGATGGTCAGTTTCATATTGTCTTTTTTTGTCTGCTACGATTTCAGTTCTTTTGGATACCAGTAGTGTGAAATTATGATCACGGTTTTTCAGAATAGCACTTCGGTCTTCAGATCTGTGTCGCTTAGGGCTCTTGAGCCTTGCACGGTTGCAAAGTAAGTATTGTTGCCTAAATCAGGGTCTCTGGGATTTGACGTTAGGCATAGAAAAGTGATAGAAATTCTTTCCGTTTGTTTTTGAGAAGTAATCTAGGAGTGTAGGTAAACTAAAACAGTGCTTCTTGCATTACAAATTTGTTAAAGGCAGCGTCCAGGCAGATCTGGACCTATGGAGCTTTTACGTGGAAAGTACTTTTGACCCTAACTAAGGCACTGCCCAAGCGGCAGCTCAGGTAGTGCTCCAATGGCTGAGATATTCCCCTCGAAACTGGCCCGCGAACGTATTCGCATGGATTTATGGCAGTTTCGCGCCAGGATCCACGCTTTGCGCCATGAATCCGTGCGAAACACGGTCGCGGGGTCCAGCTTCGAGGGGAATATCTCAGCCATTACAGCACTACCTGAGCTGCCGCTTGGGCAGTGCCTTAGTTAGGGCCCCAAAAGTACTTTCCACGTAAAAGCCACAGAGGTCCAGATCTGCCTGGACGCTGCCTTTGAGTATCACCACAACAACTTCAGGATGATTGATACTTCAATTTTCATCTTTCAGATTCCCCATCAAAAGCTTCCGTGACTCATATCAAAAGTATCCCGAACTATGGATGAGACCCATACAAATTGTTATCACTCGCCTTCTGCATGTGACCATGACCACACTGCATCAGTATATGGGTCTGAGCTCAGAACTGATGAAGAGAGTAAGTGGGTGGTAAGCTTTTGTTTGATCATTTGCAAAACTCCTTTTTTACAGAGACGTGAACCTGCAGTGGATGACCGCGCCCGTCAAGCTCAAGTTACCGGACCACTTCGACCTAATCCACCTCCATTGCCAAGCACATTGAAGAAGACAAGAGAACCACGATTTAGCAACACGGACGGTTCGTCAAGCATTTTCATCACTTCTTTTTGGATCACTGTTCCCTGTTTCCTTTCACTGTGATCACATTTAGATGTTGTAGACCAGCTTGCTATAGCTCGAAAATGGTTTGCTGAAGCTCTTGGATTGGGTGCAGATGGAGCGTCGTTGATTGAACACAAGGTTTGTCAGTCTCTGTAAGCGGCATGGCGTAGCTAAAGTAATTTTTGTTATTTAGGGTGACATTACCGTACGTACATTTGATGAAGGAGAGATGCTTGTAGAACAAGGGTCAGAAGAAGAGCAACTTATTCTTGTCCTCTCTGGATCGCTGAGGTTACTCCAGGTTAGTTTTTTGACTCCAGTTGGCCTTTAGTCAGATAGAACTCCTTACCCGTGATCTTACGGGAAGCGAAGTCTTGATCCTGGCTAAAATTCCGGCTGCTTTTTGTATGGTGGTGGTTTTTATGGTCACCTGTTAACGTGCTTTTGTCTGCTTGGAGAAAGAGTAAAAAATACAACAAGGAGGGAATCCGCCGTGGATATATCATTCATGCCCTGACTAAGAGATACGAGCACGCTTTGCGTACGTTTGACTAACAAGTTCATGAGTGCGTTCTAACGCGTCCTGGTATATCACCATTAGGAATTCGATAAAAAAAACATGCCCAAACTCTTGTAGTTCAACGGGCTCGAACATGTTCGTCACAAATTCCTAATAGTAAGCCGTCCAGAACGCGATAGAACGCATTTATTAACTTGTTAATCAGTCGTACGCAAAGCGTGCTCGTGTCTCTTAGAGTCAGAGAATGAATGATATTTCAGAGAATGAATGATACTTCTCTTCGTCTTCGTTAGTAATGGTTATTGAAGGTTGCGATAGCATGCGCTACTTTCTGCGGCCTTTACTATCAGAGTTCAAAAGGAGTGCCGCGATAAGTTGCATGCTTCGAATGCTGATTTCGAGTGGTCCTCAAACGCTGGATGAACGTATTGATTTGCACCGACTCTTCCAGAAATGGTCGGTAGACAAAACATTTTTTGCATCAAATCATAAAAACGTTTTTGGGGCATTGTAGTGTAGGTTTTTGCTATTCAAACAATTTATAAATTTTAGTCCTTCGACGAGGATTACTATGACTATGAGGTTCGGATTCACTGTCCAATACGCATGTCAATTACTATGTTATATTACTTGTTCAACAAATGCAATTGACTTTTTGTCGAATGATCTATTTGCAAGCTTGTTTTATGTTTAGAATTACTGTGTAGAGCTTTGCTTGTAGTTTTAGTGCTGGTTTGAACGATATAGAACATTCATTATATGCTCGTTCTAACTATTAGAAACAGTCTTCTCACTCAGTGTGATAGTCAACTTATTTCAAGCTTTTGAATTTTTAATTTAGGAACCAGTTTTTGATGAAGAACCTCACGATGACGATGACGATACTATCTCTCGTCTCTATCCTCGTGAAATGGTTGGAGGTCTTCAAATCCTTACGAATGAGCCATCGTTCTACACTATACGTGCGGCGACTAAGGCGACTGTGGCTATTTTGAGGAAGGCTGAATTCAATAGGTGAGCCTAAAATTTTCACAAGGAATCTTGAAGATTTTTTGATTGGCCAGTAATGCATAATGCATCTCAATTCGCCAGGTTCTTTTTTTTTCAATCATTCTTTCCTATTCTTAGCCGATTATTATTTTTCTTTCCAGCCTGCTGGAAGAGCGTCCACACATATATCTTCCGGTTGCCTACTCGGTTCTCCGCCGACTGTCACCATTCCTCAGAGGTGTGGACTTTGCATTAGATTGGGTGCTGGTTGATTCCGGACAGTCAGTCTACAGGTATCTTGTCTCGGGTTCAAGCTTGTTTTTTGCTTTTATTGGTAATTTTTTAGGGAAGGTGACTTGGCAGATTCTATGTTTGTCATGTTGAGCGGTCGACTTCGTGCTGTCGAGAAGAAGACCTTAGTGGAAGAGTTTGGTAGAGGAGATGTGCTAGGCATGGTAAGCTTTAGTGATAAGAGAAGTCGTTGTGAACTCAATTCTGCAACTTCTGTCCAGATGGAGCTTTTACAAAAGAAACCACGAGCTACAACAGTGCTTGCAGTTCGTTTTTCGCAGCTGGCTCGCATTCCTGAAGGACTACTCAATTATATCAAGCTGCAATATCCTCAGGTAAGCAAAAGCATTTGTTAGGCTTTGGTAAAAGTGCTTTGATACAGGTTGGTTTCCGTTTGGTACAATTGCTTGGACAGTACTATAGCAGCATACAAAGGCGATTGCCACATATGCCTGCAAATTCACTGGAGGCTCCTGGAGATCAGATGAATCACATCAAGGTAAGGCTTCGATTTCCTCATTTTTTATTCATATTTCCAAACTTCATCATCTATAGATCTTCGTATAGTCTCGTTTTTTCGTCTTTTTTAGCCGAAACCATAGTAAATATACTTTTTGTCAGTAATACTAACGTATCGATACCGTGACCAAACTCTCAAACGAAATGGCGAGTCCCAGATTTCAGTCTGACGAATAAAGAGCGCTACTAGCTTTACTTTGAGTCAAAAAAAAAAATAAATGGAAGATTTTTATGCTCTGATCAGCGTTAATTCTTCAGAATCTTCATACGATCGCTGTTGTACCTGCTTCGACAGATGTTCCCCTAGTGCCGTTCACTTGTGAATTGTATCATGCTCTGTCTGCCAATTTGAGAGCGCTTAGATTGAGCAGTCAGAAGGTGGCGGCACAGTTGGATAGCACTGTCCTTGAAAAGTATGTTATTTTTTTTGACGTATATTTACATAAAAGGGGGAGTAAATATAAATCCTATAAAGCCGAAATGACTGTAGAAGATTTTGCATTTTCTAAACTTCGCGTTTTTTTCTACAGATTTCTCCAAAGCCAAGACTTCACATTGTAAGTGTTTTGTCTGTTGTGAAATATATCTGTTTCGATGTTCTCCCTAATAGTGTTAAAGTTGGTCTTGTCTAAGTCATGGCAAGTATCAGTGTGCTTTGATAGTGAGACCTATAGAGCTATATACCAGTAACATTCAGGCAAGCAGATTTTCGCCTAATGCACTGGCTGAATGTACAGGAGGATACATATCCTCTGGTGATCTACGAATGTGATTATACGGCGACTAATTGGACTAGAAGGTGTGAATTTTTTGCTAATTTCATTATTATTTGCCATAATTTTTTTCTGCAAATGTGCCAATTTTCAGACTGTAGATGAAATTTACCTTTTTGTAGATGTCTTCGTCAAGCGGATGCTATCCTTGTTGTCGCAATGGGGAATAAAAAGCCGAAGAACCAGACCCTGGTGAGTTTTCTCTTATATTTGTCATCATTCTCATAGAAAGTCAAGGAAGGTGAATGTCACCGCACTTGACTTCATAACTACCTTGTAGTCTGAACATCCTGCTTAGAAGGACGCGTAAAAGTGACTGTGCGGTCGCGGTGCAGTATTTCCCACTCTCTACAGCGTCAGTGTAGACTGGGCCAATCAACAAGTGTTTCTTTTTTTTATCGTAATTGATTACTCGTATTCATTAGATGCGAGAATTGCTCAGCACTAATCAAGATGGCGCTCGAACGAACAAAGAACTCGTGTTGCTGTGGCCAGAAAATACGCAGACACCCTCTGGAACTCATGAATGGTTTAAAGATACTTACTACACAGGTAATTATTGTTCCTTATAGGGATTGGCCATACTATTCCTGCTATTCCTACGACTCCTGCGATTCCTGTGAGTCCCGCACAGTTTAGACGCCGCTTAAATGAGCGCGTGTTGCGTAAAACACCACGTAACACGCAACACGCGCTCATTTAAGCGGCGTATAAACTGTGCGGGACTCACAGGAATCGCAGGAGTCGTAGGAATAGCAGGAATAGTATGGCCGATCCCTATGGGAGCGGCAAGTGCCCCCTGCCATGCCCCTTTTTGGCTCTTCCTCAGTTTTCCTTACGAGATTTATGCGATGCTTGTGTACTGCTGTCTTCAGGCAGATATCGCTTTTAGGTCATCACCATATTCGCGCCCCTAAGAGAATGTTCCAATGGTCATCAAAGAAAACGCGAAGAGTTTCAAGAGAAGCTGTACATTCTGTGAGTGCTGACAAATTTTCCTAATTCATATTAATTTGAAGTCAACATGTTTCAGGCGAATGAGCGAGATGTGGTTGAATACTATGAGAAGAATGTGTTCTGGAATGTTGATTTCCGATCGGATTTCGCAAGGGTCGCTCGCATACTCACTGGAAATGCTATAGGTCTAGCGCTAGGAGGCGGTGGAGCGAGGTTTTTTGTTTTTTTTTCTAAAAAAGTTATGTTTGAATCCTTAACTGTTATTTACAGAGGGGCAGCTCATGTGGGAGTTTTACGAGCTCTCAGGGAACGAGGCATTCCTATCGATATCATAGGTGGTACGTCAATTGGTTCACTTGTAGGAGGTATTCATGCAGGCACACCTGATGAACGTGTAGAGGAACGCGCGAGTGTATGGTTCAGGGTAAGTAATGGTCACTTCCTTACATTATCTTGCATACTCATCCTTTACCAGGGTATGACAAGTCTTTGGCGCAGGATTTTGGATCTAACATATGCGCATTCGGCTATGTTTACGGGTGCACAATTGAACAAGTCTCTTCAAGATCTTTTCGGGGAACAAGATATCGAAAATTTGTGGATACCGTACTTCTGTATTAGCACAGATATCACGTATGTCTCATTCTGTTTATTGGATTTTGCATCTCAGGGAATTCAGAGATCACGCTTGAATTTTTTTGCTGATTTTCCGCAACAAGGTGGTTGCAGGACTTCTGAGATGCGAGTTCATCGAAGTGGACCTCTATGGGCTTACTGCAGAGCTTCAATGTCCCTCGCAGGCTACCTTCCGCCCATGTGCGACCCTCAAGATGGTCATCTGCTGTTGGATGGAGGATACGTCAACAATCTCCCCGCTGATGTCATGAGGTAGTGATCTTTTGAATTTACCTGCCATTTGTTCTTATTTCCGTGTTTATAGGTCCATGGGTGCAAAATGTGTCATCGCTGTTGATGTTGGCTCATCCGAGGAGACAAATTTGTACAATTACGGTGATTGTCTCAGTGGAACTTGGGTATTGTGGAGAAGACTGAATCCTTGGGCTGAACCTGTGAGAATCCTGAATATGGAGGAGATTCAGGTAGGATAAATTTTTGTAATGAGAATTTTTGTGTATCTTATCAGAGCGAAGTTTTAGACCCGGCTGGCATATGTATCGTGTGTGCGGCAGCTTGAACTTGTAAAAAAGGCACCGTATTGCAGCTATTTCCGACCGGCTGTTGAGTTATATAAAACGCTGGAGTTCAATAAATTTAGTGAAATTCTGGTAAGAAAAAGGTTATGCGTCTTTGTTAACATCTAGAATATTTCTAATCAGGAAATCGGGCATGAGTACGCCAAAGGAAAGATTGGAGATCTTATGGAGTTGTCAGCGTTCAGCAATTTGTTGGTGGGTGAAGGTCAACAAAGTCGACTTCAACGCCAGCTTAGCAGAACCAATAAGGTAGTTTGTCCTGTGTGAATGCCACTTTGTTTTCTATATTTGAAAATTTAGCGTCCCAATCTGGAGCGTTCTACATCTTTCACGGATCTGGCTGCTGCATTATCAAAGATTCCCACAGTTCGACCGATAATGCGACACTCATTGAGTGCATACGAACCGAGCGATGATGTATTCGAAGACATCGACTTTTGGGACCGTGAGTATTTCATTCCTTCTGTTTAGCAACAATTTTTTCATCTTCTTCTACCTCTCTCTACCTCTCCTATTCGATGCCCAGTTTTATGGAAACAAATTTTTCGTATTTTAAGTTGCTTCAGAGTCGGATGCCGATAACGAACTATCACAGTCGGACATAAACGACACGTCAGAAGCATCGGATGCTGAGGCTGACCTCGACAATAGGCATTCGACGAGTACGCCAAGGCCGTAGGCTACAATTTGTGACCAAGTATTTTGTAGTGACAGCTTATTGTTGTGAGGAAATGCTTAGTTGTGCACTTACGGGGTCTTTGAGCTTAGCTTCTTCGTTGTTGCCGGCATTTAGTCATTTTCGTTGATTGTTTTCTCTATTTGTTCACCATGACTTAGCATAGATTTCTTAATTCCTTTTATTTTCTTCATTATTTGGTGCATAAGCATGTCGACTGGTCAAATTCGTAGTTCAGTTGCCCTGAGCACGATATAGCTCAGGATCACGGCTGTAAGTGATATTATACGTTGCCATATATGAATACGATGGTTTATGCGTAATTTAGCTGTATTCTTTGCATAGTGGTAGTTTTCTTAGAGATTTAGTATATAGTTTATTTGAGACTTAGAGGGTATAAGAATCTTGGTGAGATCTGTTTAAACACGGTGTTGTCTTCTCCTTCATCGTTGTACGGATTTTTGAATGCGCATAGATGATCCTGTTGTGAAATCATCGACCAACGTGTAGTCTCGAAACATTACGAGTTTATAGACCATGTTCCTTCTCTCTCACATTCGTTCTCGTTCGATTGCTCTTTCTCTTACACTTTGAACTTATTGTTTTTTTCCTTCACAAAATATTTTTGCTGCCCTAATAACATGATGAATTGGATTGCAATTATGTTAAAGTGTAATATATTTTTCTCTGAAATGGTGTTTGTATCAAGCATATTGGAGATGCTTTCCAGTTCGGATAGATTGCTTTCTAGATTGCTAGAAATGAGCAATAGTCATTTCCTTTTGATCGTTATGTACCAAACACATTCGACACATAGTTCTAAAAATTCTATTACCTCTTTTCAGAAGGCCAACTTTTACCTCTATTGCGAGGTTTTCATTCATATGATAACTTACTTTTAACGTCGAAATCGAAAAAATTCTTACAAGGCTAATCCAAATTTCCGAGGCAGCCAAAACAATTTATTAGGTTGTCCGGAAAATAATGTCGCATGGCAACCTACCGCGTCAGAATCACGGCTCGGCACAGGTGGCTTGTAAGCCAGCTGGTATCGTTTTTTGGGACGAAAAGCAAAGGGGGTTTCGTTTTTGTGACTGAAGAGACACGGAAAATTGGCGACGGCGACCTTTTTTTTTTAGTCGACGTTTCGTTTTTTGGGGGATTTTGGGGAATTTTTCAGGTTTTTAGAGGAAATTTGGTTGAGGGTCAAAGGGGACTTCGTAAAAATTCCCAAAAGTCAAGGGGGACTTCGTTTTTTCCATTTTCATCTAGCCACCTCGTGCCGAGCCCTGGTCAGAATGACAACAAAAAACAGCGAATGGGGTATCATTTAGAGCAAAGCAAGTTCTACAAGACAGTTTACAAAATCCCGCGAAAATTGTGCTCCACCTGAAGTTCGAATCCAAAATATAAAAAATTATAGATATCCGAAAAATCGTATCTCCGTTTATAGACATCCTATAGATCTCCAATTTGCACAGGCATGTACCCTCTACACTAGACATTCACCTATATAGTTTGTGATATTTCTCCATGGCTACAGTACGAGAAATTAGAATAGGTCAAAAGTGCAAATACGTCGCGTTTTTCAGGTTTTTTGCAGACGATTTGATTTTTCTCGAAAACTAGCGCCTATCTAAAGCTAAAGTTCATGTTTATAGTCTTAGAGGTTTATACTACAGAATCACTCATGTGAGAGAAGCTCAGGATTGTTTTGGCAAAATATGCCAAATTTGGTTTTCTTTTCAGCCAGGAAAAAGCGCGAAAATGTGCATACGATAGTTTCGTATAGTCCATGCGTGAGTAAGTTAGGGGTTCCCAGAACTTTTCTGAACCAAGATACGATTTTTATTTGTTTTTTAGGTCTTCGCCTTATTTGGCTCCAAAGTTCACGCAAATCAAACCTGGCGCGAAGATTCAAACTTCATTTTGTAGAGCTTGCTCTGATCTATCGGTTGATACCCCATTTACTTACTTTCGTGCGCACCCTGCTGCGACATTGCATGTTAGAACACGTGCAACTTTATTTTCGGGCAACCTAATATATCCAAACGGAGTAGCCAAATATTCAAATATTCGAACAAAGGTTTTCAAAACTTTTTGAATAATCGAGTATTCGAATGACTGTATTTTAAAATACCTCGAATTTTGGATTAACCGACTAACAAAGGAAGGAAGGTTGGTCGAAGTGGCCTTTTGAAATTTGGAGTATACTGCCTTGTAGAGCTTGGAACGCTGATTCCAAATCTACCTTTGCTATCTGCTGCGGGCTTCTGGGCCAGGAGTTATGAAGGTTTTTGTGAGTAAAATTCTGAATGCAAAAATAGGGTAAAATCAGTCGTAACCTTTTCCCAATGTTCAAATGAGGCAGCAGCGAATTGGTATGTTTGAATCAAGAATATTTGTTGCACCGAGAGTGACCCGACTACCAATTAAATCCAATAAAAAAAGTTTGGACTAATTTCAGCCTACTCTTGCATTCAGATTTTTACTCACAAAAACCTTCATAACTCCTCGCTAGAAGCCCGCAGCAGATAGCAAAGGTAGATTTGGAATCAGCGTTCCAAGCTCTACAAGGAGTGTACATCTCATTTCAAAAGGCCACTTCGACTAAGCTTCCTTCCCTTGTAAGTTATTTTTTCGAATCGTCCAATGAACAAATTATTCGAATAAGGATCTTTTCCGTCTATCCGACCATTCGAATAATCGAATAAGCGGACTTTCTCGAATATTCGACGATTCGAATACTTCGATCAATTTATTCGATTACGGATATTGGGTTTAAACTACAATATATACGCATAATATGGATATAGGTCATTAATACCTACTAGCGACCTTACGGGTCGCTAGCAAGTGGGTCGGGGCAGATGCAATATAAGGGCTTAGTTGTGATAATTTCTAAATAAGTTTCGTATTCCTTTCCTGAGAACATTTTTGCGAAAAACATTCTACAAAAGGAGAACTGCTCGAAGGAGTGATAATTTCTACAAATCATTCAGCATTTCTCGAAATTCCTGCTACAGCCATGCATGGAGAATATTATTTTTCTCTCGTTTACCACGCTCTTTCTGCAAATTTCCCCTCCTCACAGAGAACTTTCAGGTTCTTATCAACAAGTTCCATAAATTATCCTTAACTAAGTAGCAGAACACCTATCGCTTTGGAAGTGGAAATACACCCATAACAACTGTACTACAAAAAACACTTCTCTCTCAGAATCAATTCCGACAGCAACGAAATCAATCGTCTAAGAACTTTGTCAAAGAATCCTTCAATTTCTTTCGCCAAAGAGCTATGAAGCTTTACTACAAAAGGAGATCCCTCCCCGAAAACGACTACTGAGCCACTTAAAGACCGTCAATCATAAGAACTGCACAAACGTACAAAAAGTTTGTTTCCCTGTCCTTCAAACTGCCTTACGTGCCGCTTACAAACCAATATTATCTATCTGAAAGACAGTTCATGCCCTACGTGCCGCTTGAAGACCGTTTGAAAATTATAAGAACTGCCCCAAACGTACAAAAATCTGTTTCCCTGCCCGATCAAATTGCCCTACGTGCCGCTTACAGACCGATAATAACTATTCAAAAAAGAAGTTTCTGCCCTATGTGCTGCTTGAAGACCGTGTATATAAGAAAAACCAACCTTACGACTTATAGAAAGAAAACAACGAAAGCAAGTATTTACTCACAGCTTGTTCTCAAATTGCCGTACATGCCACTTTAGGATCTTCAGTTTTGAGAGCTGCCCCAAACGTACAAAAATCTGGTTTCCCTGTCCGATCGAGTTGCCCTACGTGCCGCTTACACCGTGCCGCTTACCGATACCTAGTTGAAAGCACCAGCGGGACTCAGTTACACAAGCAAAAGCAAGGCTGTTGTCAGATAAACGCTTTCAAAAGTACCAGCGAGGCCAAGTTACTCACGCACTCTCTTGTCTACACGAGGAAGCAAGATAATTCTAAAATGACTGTTCTTACAAGGAAACGATACTTGGTGTCCGCGACTTTCTGGAACGAGGTGTATACCATTACACTCGTCTTGAAACGCTGATTCCGAAACTAGCTTACGTTTCTGCTAATCGTTTCTCTAAAAGAAGTTATGAATAACTTTGGCGTCAACAGTCGCCTAAGGCCTAAGGCATACCTCACGCGATTTCAGTCGCTGCGCGATTTGCCACTGCAAGAACTCCTCGTAGCTGGTCGTAAACGGACTTTGCTTGGGCCAGACTTGGTGCGTCTGGTAAAACTTACGAAATCTATGCGCCCATGCATCTGAAAGCCGCGCATGCTTGGTATGTAGAAATCTGGCAAATCGCCAAGTCGCGGGGATGTGGCGATTTCGCGAAATCGCTAGAGGTATGCCTTAGGCCTAAGAGAAATACGGTCGAGGATGCCTAACTTCCAAAAAGAGGCTTGACTGAGGCAATGCAGAACTGGAAAACACAAAAGAACTCGAATTTAAGTCTGCCTTAACTTGTGAGGCTATCCACTAGTCACTACACCACCCACATTGTAGCGGCGGTTTGCATTCCAAAGTATATATCTCATCTCAAAAGGCCGCGGACACCAAGTATCGTTTCCTTGTTAGTTAGAGCATTTTTACCAAGAGATGCGAACAAAGATGAATTTAGCCCAAGTCACGCTGTTACGAAATTTGGCGTCATTTCAAAAGCGACTAATAGGAGTACAACATATTTGAAAAACACATTGTGGGATAACAAGCTCGAAAAAAGAAGCAGGTACAAAACCACACCCGGACACTGGCGACCCAGCCTTAAAACCATTGCGACACTCATGATTGCCTTTCGAAATACGTGTGATCCTTCTACGAAAATATGATTGGTCACTCGTTATGAAATTTGGCGGCGTTCCAAAAAGCATGCCATTTGGCAGCAATGTAAGAATGAACATCTGTACATTTTATCACATACGTGTGCAAAGGGGGAACATGGCCTCTCCAGGGTGAAGGGGGTATGAGGGCCGAAGGGGGGGGCCAAAGGGGGGGGGGGAGGGGAGCGGCCGCGGCTGTCAAGGTGCGTCGACCGGGGGCGCGGCAATGTTCATCATCATTGCTTCTCATGTTCTTTTGAGTCACATGTATCAAGCGAAATTGTAGCCAAACCGGATTAAAGTCGAATATTGGGTTTTACCCGCTGAAATTCGAAGAAGAATACTGGAAGAAGTGAGACTATGAAATCTATTATGATTGTCAAAACTTATTTGCAGGTTCACTGAGAAGTATGTCGGAAATTTGCCTCCCATTCTTCGCTTCTAGAGAACGACGAAAGCCCTGAGAAAAGTTTACGTGTGAAGCCTTCGTGTATATAGGACAACGAAGTTACGTATTTGCTGAAATAATGTGATATAATGAATGAACTTTGATGATCGGCGCGCAGTTGAATTGCATTCTTTTAGAGGGGAATAACTTTACTAAGCAGATGGCGGAATCGTGAAAAGTCATTGTTTGATTCCTTAAAGAGTTATTGCCCAAACTTTTAATATTATTCCTAAACTCTGATAGAGATCGTAACGTTTGCGTAGAGAATAGGTTGCAACCAAGGGCACGTATTACATCGAAGACTTAGTGTAATCTGGGTTAGCCTTACTGTCAAATGCTATAGCTACGAGGCAGTGGCGTACCCAGGATTTCGGCTCGGGGGGGGGGGCGCGGCAAAAATTTTTTTCAAATGAAGGTGCGTGGCGTC